GTGTGATTGTGTGTGTGTGTGTGTGTGTGTGTGTGTGTGTGAGTGTGAGAGTGTGTGTGCGTGCGTTCGTGTGTGTGTGTGTGTGTGAGTGTGTGTGTGCTGTTTGTGCGTCAGCTATTTAAAGAGAAAGTGATTGTACTCTCTTGTCTCATTTAGCTGCTGTGGGTAAAAACGAGTTGCAAAAAACAAATAATGATTGTGTCCTGAAAACGGCCCCATCTGCCATTGGTTGGCCAAACAGATAGTCCCGCCTCCAATCTCACGCCATTGGTTGATTCAGAATGTTCTAGTTGAACACATAAAACTGCGTCTATGATGCAGGAATTATTAAATCACACACACACACAAAAAAATGTGAAGTTACTTATTACTGTAATAGTTTTTTTATGTTCCATTTTTATGATTTAATTATTTGCTTTTCATCAAACCCTGCTCTAAAACAAGCATATAATCCCAATGTTATTCCCCGAAATAATCTCTGTGTGCCGCTGGTGTCCGTCTGCAGCTGTGGGATGGCGGTAAACGTTTACTCCACGTCGATGACCATCGAGAACCTGAGCAGACATGACATGCTGGCCTGGGTCAACGACTCTCTGCAGCTCAGCTACACCAAGATCGAGCAGCTGTGCTCAGGTGAGCTCCGCTCTGAAACAGCTGTGTGTGTGTGTGTGTGTGTGTTCCGGCTCTGCTTCGCGATGCTGACCGCTTGTGTTCTTCAGGTGCGGCGTACTGTCACTTCATGGACATGCTGTTCCCCGGCTGTATCCTGCTAAAGAGGGTGAAGTTCCAGGCCAAACTGGAGCACGATTACATCCACAACTTCAAAGTGCTGCAGTCGGCCTTCAAGAGGATGAGCGTGGACAAGGTGAGACGGACACAGCCTTGGAAGTTAATATTTCAATAATTCGCATGCTCGCGGTTCTCTGATGTCGGTTAGTGGTCACATGATATGCAGGGAAACAAATAAAATATTTCATTTTTTATTAGTAAGTGTTTTATTGTATGTTTCTTTTTAGTTGTGATGGTGTATAGGGTTGCAAAAAGGTGGAAAATTTCCAGTAAAATTCCTCTTTTTCAAACCTCCAGATTTTAACATGTTAAATTCAAGCTTTTAATTTTTTCATTTTTATTTATTATTGTCAGACTCTATGTAAATGTGTAAATAAAGTAAACGCTGCGTTCCCAAAACCGGATCATATTGTGTGATTAACATGCAGCATATTATTAACTAAAACAACTATTAAAAACATTTTTGTTTGTTGAAAGAAAGCTGAAATAAAATATAAATATTAGATGAGAAAGTTAAACTAAATGAGAATATTAAATAAAATGAAGCACTAAAATTACAAACTGGAAATAAATAAAAAAATTAAACCAAAATTAATACTGAAAATATAAAGATAATTTAAAATATATATAAAAAAAAACTATTATAGCATATATTAAAAAAAAAACTAAACTAACACTGTCGTCTAACATTAAATATAATTAATAATTAGCTTTTCATCAACTCCCATTTAGGAATCCCTACTTTAGGCTAAGATTAAATTTCAACCGAAACGCGCATAACTCCCTGCTGTTTCAGATCATTCCTGTGGAGAGGCTCGTCAAGGGCAGGTTTCAGGACAACTTCGAGTTCCTTCAGTGGTTTAAGAAGTTCTTCGACGCCAACTACGACGGAAAAGAGTACGACCCTCAGTTAGCGCGACAGGGCCACGACGTCACGCCACTGCCCCCCCCCAACCCAGGTGAAGTCATTTCCCACAAAACCAAGAGCCCTCAGAAAGCAGCAGGTAACACACACACACACAGAGAGAGACAGACACACACACACACAGAGAGACACACACAGAGAGACAGACACACACACACACAGAGACAGACACACACACACCCACAGAGAGACCGACACACACACTCACACAGAGAGAGACAGACACACACAGAGAGACACACACACAGAGAGACAGACACACACACACACAGAGAGAGACAGACACACACAGAGAGACACACACACAGAGAGACAGACACACACACACACAGAGAGAGACAGACACACACACACAGAGACAGACACGCACACACCCACAGAGACACCGACACACACACACACACACACACACACAGAGACAGACACGCACACACACACAGAGACACAGACACTCTCACACACACACTCACAGAGACAGACACTCTCACACACACACACAGAGACACACACACATACACACACACTCACACACACTCACAGTGACAGACACTCTCACACA